ATCTAGTTTAATTGACAATAAAGTGAAATAACCCAGTTCTACAGTTTATGAATGTATTACAAACTCTCCAAACAGCCGTGAAGCAAAAAGTAAAGGCTGACGGAGACAAGAAGAAATACCCATGGGCTGTCTGCAGGCACACTGGCTTTCTGGGGAAAATTGGTTGTCTTTGAACTGGTTAAGACACAGATAAGGAGAAACAATCTCTTCCATGTGTCAATACTGCTGTTATTAAAGTCCTGTAAAGTTTGTACACTGCTGATCAAAGGAGGAAGGTGAGACAACAGGAGAAGGAAAGTTCAGTGAAAGCATGAAACTGAGATTCCCCAGTTTTTACAGAGGAAAATTGGAAAGGGGCAAACTTCAGTACAAAGGAAATGTATCAGATCTCAAATGCATTTTCAGGTTAGATTTTCAAGTAGTTTTCTCAGTGGTGTAAAGTCTTAAACATTAGTTTCCTGTGAAATGAGTGTCTTAGATGTTTTATTTAGGTCATCAGAATAGCCTCCTATCTATGATATTTAGGACATAACTTTGAAGATTTCATTTATCCAAAGTAGCTATTTCATTGTCTCAGTGGGACAACATGCTTTTCCCTTCATGAACACCCCAACAAACACAAATCTTCCATCCATGTGTCATAGAATTTTTGAAACTGAGAGGTCAACCTGAAATATTGAAAGTTTAATCAGCTTCATGCATTTGTCCATTGCCAAATATAGACAAAAATGTAATAAGCATTACTGCGTGGAGAGTAATAAATTAATCTTTTATCTAGAGGAGTATCATATTGTTGCAATATCCCTCCAGTTTGGTACAATATTAGTACAAATCATATCTCCATAAGGGTAAACTGGTATATATGCAGTATGTAGGCCACAAATCCATTAGCTATAGGCTGTTGTTGTAAAAGAATGGCAAGATATTTGTGCGATCCTTCTAAACCTGGTCATTTGTGGATAAAATTCACCGTTTGATTAAGATAAGGCCTTTAAACTCAGGATCAGGGCCTCACTGTGTACAAACACCTTGCCCTTGTCCCCATGAGTTTATGAGATAAAGCAAAGATGGGAGATTTTTGGTGAACCGATGTCCCCGTGGTCACATAGGACTCAGGTCTCTTGGTTACCAGCCCGCTGCTCTATCTGCTGCTTCACAGAGTCACCTCCGCAGTTAACATATAGAAAGTACAATAGATGTTCTGTGGTTTTGTGTGCTTGATAATGGAGCAAATGCCAAAGCACTGCTGATCTTCTAAACGCAGACCTACTACTGTCAGAGTTCATTGGTGAGAATTGATATTTATTAGTAGTGCTTATTGCTAATTCATAATGTAGTCTGTCACTGAAATATTATAAACCAAACTTGCAGTCCCTGCCATTAGGGACTCGCAGGCAACACAGTCGTTTCCTCTACAGCGATAAAATATGCACAGCATATTCTTTCCTCCTGATTTGTACAAAATGAAGCTATTTGATGGGTCCATCATGCTCTTTTAGGTATGCATAATAAATAAATCCAGAAGCATTCAGTAAATATCCTCAGCTGCAGGCATTACCAACGGGGGAATCAATTATGTAAATTACTTGGGCCTTTAGAGTTAGACTTTCATACTGAGACTCAAATCAGTCATCAAGAGAAAACTTCAGCTCTCTCCTGAAATCTAGAAAGCTTTTCACTTGATTGTAGATTTAAGCCCTTTTTAGCTGCTACAATTTTCCCGTGAACATTGGGAGTTTAGTCTTACAGATAACAATGTTTTCTTTACCCGAGAAACTTGCACAACACAGAATAGCTTGATAGGAGAACAGAACAGAAAAGAAAAAGGCAAAGCAATCAGTAAGCTGTGAAGCATAGGACTGGGAATGCTTCATACATTTAGGCCAACAATTACTGAAATACATGCCAAACTTGGTGCTTTAATTTAGCTTTCCCACACGGATATGGATGGTCATAGCACCCTACCAAACTCTGGGGAAAAAGGGCTGGGTGGAGGGAGGGGAGATTGCAGGTCTTGGAGGAAGGAGCTCAGACACCACACAGAGGAGACAGCAGGTCTCCTTTTGACCATCCTGCAGCTATCCACTCCTGTCTGCTTCTCCACTCCCCAGTAAAGAAATCCAGTAGAGCCAGTCCACAGTCCTGCTGGACTCTCCTGCCCTTCAAGGCATTTCCACCATTACCCTTTGTCCACTGTTTCCTCCACAACATCAGCTCCATGTTGGCCCCCTCCCCACAGGTCCACCGCAGTGTCTATCCCATGCCATCCCCAAATCTGACCTTTTGTATCCCATCACTGAACAATCTCCTTCTACTTCCCATTATCTCACATCAATCCATCGCTTTGGGAGAATCTTCCTTTCCTGACTGTAATCCCAAATCCTTTATCTCCAGATGCAAATTCCCTCCTGCCCAGTCCACCCAGGCTCGACAGTGATGCCAGACCCCCCCATCACACCAGGGACTTACTCACAAGCAGAACTTTTGAATCCAGGAGGCACCACAGCTCCCTAGAGGGAAAACAGCACACTGCTTCAGGAAACCATCCTGAGAAACCCATAGCCTTATAGGTTGCAAAGCAAGATAAATGACTAAATTGAAGCACCTGTGCTGCTTGCCCTTGAATGATTTGTGCAGCTGGGGGCCTTCCAGCATTTCTTTGAGCCAGGGAGGAGGCTGAGCATGGGAAGGAGTCGTCAGGTATCACTGCGACACCAAGTGAGTATGAGATTCCCCTCTGCCACCATCACAGAGTACCTGCTTCCCTTATGTCACCAGCTTTTCCCTTCCTTTTTCCCTGTCCTTCCCAGTCTCATAGCAAGTCTTGCCATGGTTTTCTTCTCAGTGCCTCCCAACTCACGGGGCTTCTTCCTTAGGGCCCTCCGGCTGTCTTTGCTTGTTGAGCTTTAAGCTGGTGTCATGCTGGGTACCGTATCGTGGACTCCCTGCTCAGGCTGTTGATGCTCGGACACCTTTCTCAGCTAGGGCTGTTGCTTCCTACCCCAGAAGGAAACTTGCTGAGGTTCTGGTGCCACACAGCAGCAGCAAGATCTGTATCTTCTCTCTCATCTCCTCAGCCTACTTCTCAGAGGGTAAAGACCCCTCTTATTTAAAGAAGGAGTCACCTTTAGGCTTTTCTCATGTAGCTTTGGATCCCTGCCTCAGGAAAAGACCAGACACTGAAGTCCTGCTCCTCATCCACCCAGAAGGAGGACAAGTACCTCTGATCTGGAGCCAGGGAGCTCCCAGGAATCACGGACAGACCTGAGCTCTGCACCCTGAGCTGCTCCTCCGCTGCTGCGCACCCGGCTAAACTATCCCGGAGAATCCCAGCTGTCTTTGATGACCGCCTTCTGTCTCTATTAGCCCTTGAAAGGCTGGTTTAAGGAAACAAAGCAAAACAAAATTGGAAGAGAAAGGGCCTTCCTACAGCATGTAAAGCTCTGACACCATGCAGCGTGACAGCTCCGCTACGGAGCGGATGAGCCCGAGTGTCTGCGACGAATCGCTGCTGTCAACCCAGCATGCACGGCTCCGGCAGGGCTGCGAGCGGAGGAAAAAATCCGCCTGAGCATCTAGCTCTCGCACACGTGCAGAGGCACTTACTAAGCCACAATAACTGTGCTGCAGGGTATCCTTCGCCTTCTCATTGTGCAGGGATTAAGGCTTGGCTGCCTTGATGAGAAAGCTGTTGGGCTTGCTCGCAAACTCTCAGCATTCCCAGTTAAAACTGTTTTAAAGAGACAGGGAAGGTAATCAGAAAACAGTTCCCGCTCCGCCTTTTAAAACAAACTTAATTTTAACACCTAATTATTTGCAATACAGACTCACTCCTATTTCCTTTCTAAGCCGCTTCTCGGTTTTGATCTCACAGGGTGCTCACCCTCACAAGGAGGGAGGCTTTGATTAGGAAGAAGCAAAGGCTGTTGAAGGGGACAAAGCCTGACCGAACAGCGAGATCGGCAGCACGTTGCTGTCACTGCCGCTCACCTGCCCGATGACCTTGGGCATGTGACGGTGGCATTTGGGGCTTTGGTTTCCCTGCTTTTAAAGGAGGAGGGGAGGCAATCATTTTCCTCCTACGCGTCGTGCTTGGAGACACAGGACTGCAAAGTGCTAAACGAGAGCAGTAAAACCATGCCGGTAGCCTAATGACAGCTCCAGAGAAGTGGCAGAATACATCCATTTTCCCCCATCTTTCTGAGCGCAGCTAATGAAGAGAAAAGCAAACCCCTGCCCTGGCTGAGAGCAGGCAGGAACTGTGGAAGTGATGCACCAAACTGTAGGAAACACAGTGGAGCGCAGGAATTTGGTTACATGGCTGTTTGCAAATTAATGGCTAAATCAATTAAATGAAAGCATGGGATTTCTCTTGAGGAAAGTCTAGTCACAATCGCAAGGAGAAGGGGAGGGGTTGTGGAGTGGGGATGACATAATCACGTTTGCGAATCACCAGCAGTGTGCATGCTTTAATCCATTAATGGGGTTTTTATCTGTGATCATAAAAAGCAGGTTACATTCAGCCTGGAAGGGAGTGAGGGTTGGAGGAGAGGGGAGGGGAGAGAAAGAGCAAGAGAGAGAGAGAGAGACAGAAAGCAAGAGAGAAAGAGAGCACAATTCACTCGGTGAATCGCTTGCAAGCTTTGGGCTGATAATTAGGGACCTCGGGAGAGCAGTTTCTCAGAATCACCTGCTCTCCTCCAAATGGACCGAATGAAGACGGTGGTTCAGTCCTGCTGATATTTTTTAAGCCCTCCTCGCAGTTTGATGGGCATTCCCAGTGCTTTTGTGCACGTCTCGGAAAGCGTTGACGTGGAAAGGAGCAGCGAGGAGGGGGAGGTTGGAGAAAAAAAACCCCGCAGCTCCTCTAAAAACACGGAGGGCATGCAAGAGTGCGAGCAGGCTGGGGAGGAGGGCGAGGTGAGCGCGCCTCGCACCATGTTGCCCGGGTGCCGGCGTGGCGCAGTTTCGGAGATGTCCCTCCTGTGACTGGACGCACCATGAGCATCTGGGAGGTGATCCTGGCTTTCGTGGTGGTGGTGCTGATGCTCGTGGCCCTGCTGGCCAACGTGCTGGTGCTGATGTGCTTCTTGTACAGCGCCGACATCCGCAAGCAGGTCCCGGGATTGTTCATCCTCAACCTCACCTTCTGCAACCTGTTGATGACTGTTTCGAACATGCCCCTGACCTTGGCTGGGATCATTTACAAGAGTCAACCAGGAGGAGATCAGATCTGCCACGTTGTGGGCTTCCTGGAGACTTTTCTCACCACGAACTCCATGTTGAGCATGGCAGCTTTGAGCATTGACAGGTGGATTGCTGTGGTCTTCCCTCTAAGTTATCACTCCAAAATGAGGTACAGAGATGCTGCTCTCATACTGAGCTACACGTGGTTACACTCGGTGTCGTTCCCGATAGTGGCAGCTTCTCTCTCCTGGGTGGGTTTCCATCACCTCTATGCCTCCTGCACCCTGTACAACAAGAGACCAGAGGATAGGACACAGTTTGTGATTTTCACAGGGGTCTTTCACACCCTCAGCTTCCTCCTCTCCCTTATAGTCCTGTGTTTCACATATCTAAAAGTGCTGAAGGTGGCACGGTTTCACTGTAAGCGGATTGACGTGATCACTATGCAGACCCTGGTGCTGCTTGTGGACATCCATCCCAGGTAAGGTGCCTGTGTGCTCAGCAAGCGCAGAGGAAGCGAGGATGGGGTTCGGTGTTATGTTAAATACAGTCTGAGCTGTATCACAGCAGGGGATGGGGAGGGCGAGAAAACGAGCATCCTTCTTGCCAGTCTCTATTCTGCATGTTTCTTTTTACTCGTGTTTATTTCTCTGCTTGCAGAAGCAACTCTTTTTTTTATTATGCTTAAGGGCTTGTTTTGGCAGGCTGAGCAAAGAAACAGGCAGTTTTGGCTGAGCATGCACTTCCCTTTGAGACAGTGATCAGATCACTGCTCTTTGTCTTCGAAGGTGGCTTTAGTGGTCGATAGATTTGCATTTTTTTTGGCACTGTCAGCCCAAAACGTTGCTGGATCCCTGAGCGGGAGCAGGCTGAGGCTGCACATGTCCCTTCAGTCGGAGTTAGAAGGGAAGCTGGGCGCTGCGTGCTGCTCCTTCGCCCCCCGGTTTCCCTGTTGCTTTGCTCTCTGTAACTTTATCTCTCCTGAAGGCAGAATTCTAAGGGAATAACATTGCAAAACACATATGCTTGAGTGCCTGTACTTAAATCTAAGTGAGAGAGGCTTCAGCAGCAATGTTAAAATGACAAGATGTAGAAAGTTCATTTCGAATTACAGTCTTTAAGCAAGCCCCTTGTGCCTAGACACAGGAGGAGAAAAGTCTCCAGGGGCTGGGAGGGTAAAGGGCTTCAAGGCAAGCACCAGACTGGTTTAAATCGGTGCTGGGATGCTGTGCAAAAGAGTCACGTCAGGGATTATGCACAAACTATAAATCTTGCGTGAATAGGGTATGTCTGGATCTGGAAGGGATGCAGATTTGGCTGGAGGAGGGAGAGTGGGAGAGACAGCTTTCCCTGGGTCAGTGGTAAAGCTGAAGGAGGGGAAGCCTTGCTGGATGAAGCCCAAGGGTGGTGCTGAGCAGGCAGCGATCCTGGCGAGGAGCTGGGGAAGGTGCCCAGTGTACAGGGGACGAGGAAGGCAGCGTGTGCTGCGAGTACGGGATGGCTCTGCCCACGAGAAGCGGAGAGAGGAGGAATGGTTGAGGACCAAACCAGGCATGGCTGGAAGGACACGGGACCAGGCTGGTGAGAAGGGAGCAGCGGGACGAGCCAGAGCGATCTGCTCGGCAAATGGGGATTTGGGAAATGAACCTGCACAGCTGAGGCAGGACGGAGTGGGACGGGGTGGCTGATGGATCAAGCATGTCCTGGCTGAGAGGCTCTGATGAGCTGGGGTGGATGGGGCTAAGACCCAGCTATGACTGGGAGGGGGTGGCAAAGTCAACGGGTGAGCTCTGCAAAGGGGAACCGGGGGCACCGGTCACACCGTGGAAAGAAATCAGCCTTGTTTGCTCAGAGGAGCTAGTTTGTCATAGGGCTTAGCGTGGCTGGAGCAGGTGACTGGAAAGGGAAGGGTCTGATGTCTTTGCCTGGAAAAAAGGGAGAAAATGGTTTGGCTAGGTAGGGTGGCAGAGCAGCTGGGAGGCATGCTTGGGAGACGGTCAGAGACGGGATCTTCAGGTTTAGACTGTCTGTCAGAGACTGAAGGGAAGGGAAACGTCTTTCAGAAAAATGCTGGCAGCTGGCAGCGCAGGGAGCTGTCTGATATGGGGGAAGAAGTCTGCCTGGAAGGGAGAAAAGCGGAGAGCAGTGGAAGAGGGCAGCCCCACGCCAGACATCCCACCTGACCCCCTTGCTGTCATTTGCTCTGCAAGCTGGAGGCAAACACCAGCTCTCTCCTTTTGCAGCCAGCCAGGAGCAGAGCTGCAGGACTGAAAGCACATGTGGCTGTCCTCAAAAAAAGGTCATATTTTGGGGATTCCTAAGCCTAAGGCAAACAAGGCTGAAAGGATCAGGGCAGGACAGCAGACTGTTAAAGGAACAGAAACATTTGCTCAAAATTCTCCAGTTAAGCTGTTTGATCTGCCTCTTGACCAAGAATGCAGAGCAGAACTTCGGGCAAGTCCTGTTACTGTTCTTGAGAAACACATGCATAAATCTTCCCTTATTCACCAAGTCACATAGAGGAAAAAACACCCTTCTGCCCTACGTGCTGTCTGATTGCTAAACCGTACCTCTACTGGTCTTAGTTCCTGCATGCACTACGAGATGTGGTGGTTACTCCCAGGACAGTGTCATAAACCCACTGGGACTATTTGAAATAGCAATCGTTATGCCTAATGCTTAAAGTATGCCTGGACTGCACAGCAAAGTTTAGGAAAAGGGCAAAAATCTCGATGGTATTTCTCCTCCTCTGCATTTTTTCTGGTCTAGGTTAATTTGAGGGTGCTCGTGCATTTTGCAATCATCTCACTGAAGGGTGGATTCAGTGGGGCTGTGGGAATGATACCTCCTCTCTTCAGAGGAGACAGAGTTGTACAGGCACTTTGCTGCGAGTGTATTACTCACTGTTATTTATCTCTCGCATTAGGTTATTCTAATGCCTTTCTCTAAGAAAGGAGAGTTTTAGCTTCTTTTCTAGACTACAGAAACAGTGGCTGGTTTGACCTACGGTGGTGCTGCCTTAACTGGTGACAGCTACCGCCGCTGAAAGGGTCAGACCTCGGATTGCCTTCCCTGCTGTGAGAGCTACACAAAGGCTGCAGGTCTCCTGGAGCAGTCAGCGACATTCCTAAAGCTCTGACATATCAAAGGCATTATTTGAATTATATAAGTGGTATATATACAGGCAATTTCAGTGTTTACTATAGTACCTAGCAGCATAGACATGGATGCTGGGAGAATGCACATGAGAGAACGAAGTTTGTGATCCCACCTTAGACTACCTTGACTTCTCTGGCTCTTTGCACGGTCTAGTTTCAATGCTGAGAAATGTGTACAGACAATTTTCTGTTTCCTATGACTCAGAATCCACCCGCAAGGGGGTCTAGCGACAGGCATTATGACAGATGGCTTTATTACCTGTGACTTGGGAAGACACGAGTGATCTTCTGAAGATCATTCAAGACGAGTACAAAGGAAACCTCTAAATACCACACAAATTTGTGTGAACGTTTAGGGCACATGTCCTTTCAAGTTATCTTAGGCATTCTTTCTTGACTTTGTTCTTAAAACCAAGATATCTTAGGTATTGTGAGAGGTTTGAGCAAGACTTCACTTAAGTGCTTAAGCCATGTATTTTCTTCACTCAAATTATCTATACTATCTTTTTGGTGTATCCAGCTCTACACATCTTAAGGTCCAGTATCTCATAAACTTTGTTTTAAATATCAGACCTTCAAAGGGATATATCCAAGATTTTCCAGGATATTAGAATATTTAAATGAAAGCTTAGTCAATAATCCAGTTCTATTACTAGTGTCACTACAAGAACTTGCATATGTGTTCTTATCTTAGTGCATGAAAGTGTGTGCAAAAGCAAAATACATCTGTGTACATTGTCTATATAAAGCAGTGAGATAAAATACCTTCCTCTGTGGTGTGGTATTTATTAGCTGCATCTGGAAAGGCTGAACAAAAGAAATTGGTTGAAGTCTATCAGGACTTCCCAAGTCATGTGTGAGCTCCCAGAGTCAAAGACAGCTTTGTATATGCCAGTAAGGAAAAGATGTAACTGGGGACACTGTTAGAGACAAAAAAAAAATACCGCCCTCTACACCCTAATAACATCCTAACTGAACCTACTTTGGAGATTTCGTTTCCTATATTGCAGTGTGCCTGGGATACTATGAATTTAATAACACAGATCTTAAGCGAAGCTCTCAAACCTCTAAGATCATCTGTCTGCACCTAAAATAATCCAAGTTTTCCAGCTCTTACAGAATTGAAAACACATAGGTTCCCTTGAAAAGGTGGATTTTTTTTTTTTCCTTCTCAGCTGTCATTTCTAGCTGCAAATAACTCAGACACAGAACATGTAACACTTTTAGATGTGTTTTCATTCTACTTAGGCATATTCTTTAAGAGCAAGTTGATTTGTTATTGCAGGGACAACAAACTTTTCCTCCGGTATTTATTTCATTTTGCACATCATGATAGCTGCTCTGGGGACTGGCAATGTAAGACCACATATAAAATGGATCAAAGGAAACACACTTTCTTTAACAAAACCAAAAGGTAGCATAAGAACTCACTGCCACAGAGATCACTGAAGCGCACTGAGATCCTCAGGATATAACATGCATTTAGATGATGATCAAACATTTGCAGGTACAGCAAATAACCTAAGGATATGGCCATAAACCTCACAGCTATTAACATATGTGAGCGTGGAAGCTGACAGTGAGTCATCAATTACGAATTTACAATAAAAACGGCGAGACCAATGCCAAGCAGTCACAAAATACAGTGCACGGGCCAGACCATTCAGTTTGCCCGAGACGTGATTGCGTTACCACCAGACCTGTGCAATGAGTCAACACGTGCGTAGACAGGGGTTTCAGGACTGTAGTCTGCCTTTGGTTTTGCCCTTTCCCAAAGGGATTGATTCAGGTTCAGATGGTCCTGGAGCTCTGGGAGATACAACCAGTGCTGCCCATCCAGCCTACCCACCTGGAGAAGACAGTAACTCATCCATTTCCCTCTAAATGCACAGCCAGCACAGGAGTCACGCAAGCAGGTAGAGGAGGAGATGGGCTTTCATGTTCTCACTCTTTTGGCAAGGAGATGTGCTGATTTCAAAGATTTCCTGCAGTGGAAGCGTGGTCTCAGCTCCGTGCTCCCATGACCTTGCTGGCACACCGAGGGTCTTAGCAGCTCTGTGGTGGCCTGGCGAGACCACCAGTGAGAAACTCAAAGGAGAAACTCTTGTCCTAAAATGCCACAGGTAGGATAAAACCCAGGGTGTGACTAATTTGTATCTGTTTAGTTGGGAACAAGGCTGGTTTGAGGCGAGGGGTCAGGGTATCACAGTGCTGTGGATTTATTGTACAATTCTGGGCTTTGCAGAGCGTTCAGCACGGCAGCCGTGCAGAGCTGCACAGGCTGCTGAAAGATTTATGGCCACACGGTTCAAAGCTATGGGATATAGTGATTGCTCCAACATTGGGCTGAATGTTCAGGGCATGTTTTTTCCCGTTATGATTATATTGTGCTTTCTTGCTTATCTTGCTGGGAAGTTTCTCCTATCTAAGGTAGTGGTGTTGGAATTGCTGTTTTGAGGGAAGTAGCATGCTGCCTACCCCACTCTGGATATTTTACAAAGCTCTGAATATCATGAGGCAAACTCTGGCCTGCAAATACAGCTTACAGTAATTCAAAAAGCAGCTGCAACTGAATTCAAGGCTGGATTCCACCAATTTGACTATATATAAATCAATATAATGGGGGTGTGTGTGTATATAAATATATAATCACGTATTTCTCAGTAATTGTTTTTGGAGGTTAAGACAATCATGCAATGCACTAATACTTGGGTATTGTCCCATATAAATGCAGTGAACCTGGTATTGGCTTATGCGAATACAACAGTTACTGGAAAGATTGATTTCCATCATTCCATATGTAAAGCCATTAAAATCTGCTACCTGATATTATGATTCATGTTCTTGTTTGTGTTGAATGTCACACAGCGTAAGAGAGCGTTGTCTAGAAGAACAAAAGAGACGGAGGCAGCGAGCAACAAAGAAAATAAGTACCTTTATTGGTACTTTTGTACTTTGTTTTGCACCTTATGTAATTACAAGGTAAGTGTGAACCTATGTACTGGAAAAGACTACTGAGATGCACTCTTAACTCAGAGAAGTAGGGGACTCTTAACCAGAAAATGATTCAAGTCTCCTGTGAAAATTTTGTGCAATGTTTCCACTCCTATATAGAGGTTGCATTTACTGAGCTAACAGAACTATGTAAAATGTCATAGCACTTATCTGATACAATCCTGATGCAGTCTGTGAGCCAAACTCTGTTCAGTCAGCCCAGTCAAGATGCTGGCCACATGGGAATGATTTAGGAAGTCAGTACACAAGATTTTGCAGACTTTTTTCAGGTCAAGCAGTCACCTACTCCTCAGATTGCCTCCCCAGTTCAGGGGCTGATCTGGAGGGGAAGACACTTGTCTGAATAGGTCAGACTGTAATAAAATCTGGTCAACAAGATCCAGCTGAGGTGAGAACATGTCCACAGACTTAAACGATAGTTTTGTCTGACTGAATAGAGTTTATTAGTCATAAACATCAAATATCAAAGCTGTTCTGGCTCATAGCTAAAAAAAAATTCTTGTGATTTATGGTCAGATGTCTATCTATCTACTAGCTTATCTTTGGAAATGGGTCCTTTGGGAAACACAAAATTATTCCTATGAAACAAAAAGTATTTAAAAGTGAGTATATCCAGCAAAGTGTTATCTAGTTGTTGAAGGAAATTTACAACTTGCATTCCTTATTAAAAGACCTGGAAAAACTGAACTGCTGCTATGCAGAACAGAGAAAGAAGAAAAATATTTTTGAAGTATCTCCTATTCCAATAGTATCAAATAGAAATTATTGGGGCTGACTTCAGTCAAACTCAGCTCTATTATAAAAAAAATCATTGAGAAAGCTGAAATAAGACTCAATATAAGTGGGCACGTAGCCAACCCCAACTTTTTCCAATTCAGTATAATATCCTGAATTTCTAATTCTAACAAAACAATTCTCAGGAAGGTCTTGTAGTCTCTTGGTAAAAATGGAAACCTGCATGTCACATCGATTTTTTGTTCATGACTAACAGCTAATTGATTCATGCTGTTTATTTGTAACAATGTTGCAAATACATTTGTATCAGTGTTACTAGATTTACCTTCTAGATTTACCTACTAGATTTACTTTCACTTAGTAGTCACGAGAAGACTCTCCATGCCACACACTCTAAAAGGGTATGAAAGGATTTATAGTTACAGGCTTTCAGTCTTAGTTCTCAGGCTATAAGATATTAGAGTATTTGTCTCATTACAAATGGTTAAATTTCATTTTATGTTGGGTCTTGGAACTTAATGAAAATCATTGCAGCCACAGAATAGCTCGCGGCTCCGTCCTGAGTGACACCGAGTGCTCTAACCAGGACTGTCAGAAGTATTTTTGTGCTTGTCAGAAGTATTTTTGTGCTTCTCCATAGGCATCTCAGCCCAGGATTCAGGCACCACCTCCCCACCTCCTCTCAACTCTGTGGCATCCTAATTGGTGTCCCAGTAGCCCTAAGATACAGAAGAGGGTTAGAAAAATCCCGATCCTCCTCCTTTTAGTCCATACAAGGATCACTTAAATGTTCCCCTGAGTTTTTGGTCTGTTGAGGACTAATAGCTTTGCAGCAGAGAGCAATTCCGAGAAGACTCAAGACATGGGGTCTTGAATGCATGAAGAATGCATGAAGAATTCTTGAAGGGTTGGGCACTGACGAGGCATGCCAGGCAGGGTAGACGCTATCACTTCGCCGGCCTTTTTGGTTCTGATACGTCTAGGGGCATCACTGCACATCAGGCTACGGGGAATTCCCTCTTCAGCTCCTCGGATCCCCCTCGAGACCTTACTGACCCTACAGCGCGTGGATGGGTGTTCCAGGACGTGCGTTGCTGAGCTTCCCGATGCCTCACGCATACGTCTGAGGGTGTTGAAGTCAAGGGGATTAGGAGGCTTTTGAGCAAGTATTATTTTCTGGACTATGTTCAGAGCTTTGCATTCACAAGATAGAGGCAATCAATCACAGTTCAAGGCAGCGAACAGAAGATAGCCGATGAAGTGTATTGCTCAGCCTCTCATTTGGACAGCCAGCTCTAATCAGCAACATGCTTAAATTAAACATGCTTTTAAGTATTTCATGAATTGAGGCCTGAAAGCAGCAAATCACGAGGCTTTACTATATCATCTGTCTGCTTCCACACTAAAACCAAATAGTTGTTTCTAGCAATGCCACGAACCAGTGAAGGAGTTGTGCTTATAACCCCTGCCAGATAAATTCTTCTCTGGGTAAACCAGAGTTTTTCAGATTACATTGAAGTAGAAAAACAGATTAGGCACCTCTTTTATCAAGAAAACATCCTTCTAATTAGTTCAGTGGCTGACCTTAAGTAGTATATCAATAGAATCTGATTCTTCTTTTTTCATTTCCACTGTACCAGTATGACAGATGTATTACCTGTATTATTTATTTCTAGGCATAACTTGTTTCTTGGTTTGTAAAAATTCTATTAGTACACATCTCTTCTTTTGCTATATTTATCATTACTTGATTAAATAACATTGTTCAAAACCTATTTTCTCCAAGGAGCTTTTTCATTAGAAAAATTAAAATAAGTCATACCAATTTCTAATATTAATTTCCAACTCCAGGCATTTCATACTGAAATACAGAACTTCGCTCGTGTAACTTAATAAGTGCTGTCAATGTGTGAGGAAATTGTCTTTAAATTAAAAATCCTGGAGTAATATCAGAAAGAAGTTCATAGCCCTAAGCCCTCAGGTTGCAGAGGAGGATGGTGGAACAGGCAGAAGAATACTAAAATTCCCTTGTAGCATCTCTGGGGGACAAGGGGTAAACAACCGCTGTTTTTAAAGTGGTTGCCTGCCCTCTGCATGCAAATCCTGCTCAGGTAGACAAGCAAGTTCAGAATTCCTCTGCAAGGTATGTTCTTGCCCGTCTGTGCATATAAATGCATGATTTTTTCCTATGCAATCTTAGGCTGACATACTCGAAGAAAGTGGCCTTCTAGTCTTCGTCAAATCTCTCAGCTGATGCGAGGTAGAGATATTTTCCTCCTGGACAGAAAAACCTTTTGGTACAAGCTGGACAGTGCTGCTTTCTATCATCATATCTCCATGATGCCTTGCTGTCTTCTTATCTCTGGACTGACAGGTGGTTCCTGCAGCTCTGGGGAACAGCAAGGGCTAAAAGCAATGGTTTGCAAGATTTGCTATAAGAGATTTGCAAGATTAGCTATAAGAGTCCAGAGGTCTGCTTCTGCACAGAAACTGGCCAGTTGTAATATATGCACCACTTAAGAGGCAAAACTGGCTAAGGGTAAATCAGCTAACAACCACTGCGATGTCATTTTTGTATCAAGAAGCAATCATTAAAATAGGGCTTTTTTTTACTAGCAAGACAGCATACAAAAGATTCAGTGTACCAAGCAATAAAGTGAAAATAAAGTAAAATCATCATCAAGATAAAACTCATGGTCAGCCTATTCATATCATTAGTACAAAAGAAACAACTAAGGTCTAATTCTGATACTATGGGACTTGTGTGGGAAAAAGAAAAATCAGAATTAGACACAAACAGAAATGTTAGGAATGCAAGCTTAAAGAGCTGATCCAAATTCCTGGGGAAAGGACTGAATTTCTTCTTGTGAGAACTTCATCATCTACCAGCTCCACAATGTGGTGCCAGCTTTGTTTCACTCCTGAACGACAAGGTATTTTAGCTTGTTTGAGACTCTGATCTATACAGAATTTTCCCCATAACTCAGTTAAGTTCTCAAGTTTAAGCAATGCACAACAGATATGTTGCCATCGTAGTAGCCTCCAGCTGGTCATATACATGTTCAGTAATATATTTTATTAAAGTGATAAACTACACATGTACGTAAAGGGTTTTCAGTGTGTATTAATTATCTGCATAAAAGATCAAGGTCTTAATCCTCAACGTAACATTCTCATTTGTTTACTGAAAGTGAAATAAAATAATTGGCTAGCCATTTGACATGATACATGCTCTAGAATTATAAGTTTCTAAAATATTAACAAAGTATCACAGCAAAACAGCTTATAGCTTTGAAATAAAGAGGTATTGAAGGCCAGACAGTAGAAGAGTGGGTTATGAAAGCAAGATAGGGAATTATGTAGCTGATATTGTAGAATTTAATTTAGAGGTAGCACTGAAATATTAATGCTCCTTCACTGAAAGTGTCATCTTTTTGGCTGAAACTTTTCATGAAAATTGAAACTCTGCATATAATTTCCCTCATAAATGAGAAACAAAACCCTCTTTCAAAGGCAATAAAGTATGTATGTGGTATGCCTTGAAAGACTGACATTTAATTGTTGTTTGTAGACGAAATGGAATAGCATAGCTTAGGATTTATCTGCATTTCTGTGTTTGATGCTTGATATCTGCAAATGTAATTTCCTATAAAAAATAATACACAAGAATTGCAAAATGTGTAAATATCAAGGACAGTTAGGGAACATAATCAAAGAAAATATTTAAAACTCTGTCAATAAAAGTGTAGGCTTTTCAGTTGATCAGTCAATGAAGGTATAATTAGCAAGTCTAGGCTTGCAACCCTGAAGTATCTATTTGATATGCTTTACATGGAGATTGTTAACATCTCGTAGAACTAATTGACAGAGACTCAGACGCAAATTTGTCATATTTTGGTCATTCAAGGCATCCACTGAATTTAATTAAACTTAATCATATGCACATCCATAAAGCATTCGGTAAAAGTATATCAACCAGATTAAATTCAACATGATGAAATTCAAAATGCAAAGAAGGCATCAAATATATGAAGTGGAGAAAGACAAGAAGAAGGATGGCTCATGGTAGATTACAAAGTAAATATGACTCAGTAGTTTATTAATTTCCAAATAGTCAATTCTCATTTTGTGGGTGTCATAAGCTACATTTTACTAAACAAGAGAGAATACACCAGATGTGACCCCTCGACAGCTTGAGTACATAATTATGTCTGAGTTTGGATTCTACCTTGTAAGAAAGATATCAACCATGAGTTACAAGGAGAGGTTGAAAGAACAGCATGTGTTTAGTTGAGATGAAAGGAGAGAGAAATGGGACAGACGGCGGTTCTTTGGTATCTTGAAGTTACTCAACAGCGATCAGCTGAGCCAAGAGGCACCAGTGGGCCAAGAGGCAAGAGCCATTCCCAAGTATTTTCCTGTAACCTAACCTGGTCACCTCAAACGTCTCACGCAGCTGTGAGCCCAAAGAGTATTTTGGCTAATGTCACCACCCCTAAAAACATCATCTTACAGGTGTGCCTCACTCCTGATGGAAGTGATACACAAAATGATAAAATTACTAGCACAAAGCACACAAAACTATTCTCGGTATTAGAATTACCAATTCCGTGACAGTGGCTAAAGCCCCAGCACTGGCAGCAGAGCCGTGGGTGCGAAGCCCAGCACACATATCCAGGGAGAAACAGTCCTTTGCCATGGAGTTTGCTGTCTGGGCAAACCAGAACAGAGAGAGGAGACAGAAGCTGGTAGTCAGTGGTGTAAGAAATTAAGTCTCCTTAGTCCCACTTTTGTGCTCAAATGACTGGACCGTGCCATCTGCCAGCGCTATTTTAAACAGTATGATGTAGTGAAAGTTTATGGAATGAGAATAAAATGACTGAGGAAAAAAATCACGTCTAAACTGCTTGAAGTGCCACCACTATTGTCATTGCTGCTGCAGAGCCCGCACTTCAGAATGCTCCTTGGAAATGGTGCTTTTTCTGAAGAAAACTGAAGTATTTTCCGGGCAGGTGTAAGAGCACCTGCAGCTGAAGACAGTTTCAGCAAAGAACTTATTTGCCTTTGCATAGGGGTGCTCTAGTAGGACATGCGGCTGTTTGTCCTCTAGAAAAATCAATAGTTTCTCAACAGCTGTAGAGACATATTGAACAGAACTTCCCTTCAGTGTTGCTCAAAGACACAGGGAAAGAAAACCTTGGGGAGTTATCAATAGTTCACTGTCAAAAATGTCCTGTCTCAGTATAAAGTGAACTGTCTGTGCTAATGTAGGCATAAGGAGTATATAAAGCTCTTGCCTCCCTCCCCTAATGAGTTAAAAGGTTTGCCTTGCTACATTTTTTGCAAATGTATAAGTTTAGCCTTTAACTGACTGGTTTTTAAATTCAAGATATATTATGCCACCTCTCAATGATGAATTTTCCTTCCTTGTGCGCTTCTCCTGTGACCCAGACAAACTGTTCGAAAGCATCAGACTCTCTCTAGGAGCTGGACTGGCTAAGAAAGCTAGCTGGCACTGGCGACGTGGTTTCTCAGATACTCTAGAGGGGACCTAGAACCACGAGTTCAGACTAGATGTTGGATTTTTAGATAGCTAATATTAAGGCAATATGACTCCTATGAGACCAAGCAATGGCAGTTTTTGTCCCAATCTCTAACTTTAGTGCTCAAAGTATAGTTTTGCATCAATAATTAGAAAATTATGTTAGGCTATGCAGAAATTATTTTTTACAATACTTGTGGTTAAATTTGCTGTGCAGGATGGATTCAATAGTGATAATGAGTGTGAAAGTCATGAGGAAACATACCTGGGGAGATCATACTCCTTTCATTCCCTTTAGAGCTATATTAAGTCTGTGATGAACTTCAGCTGCTGGAAACATGATCTTATGACACACAGGACTAGAAAAATGCAAAAGCACTAAATGAAAAAAAAAAGAAAGTGAAATGTTACTATCTAACAACAGATCTTATTAGGACTGAGAACCCTAGAGCCATCAGAGAAAGTAACACACATTGTCCGTATGGATAAGTTTAGGTACAGAGACTAAAAGTGTAGTGGTTGAGGATATGTTATGCAGGAAATGATTTTGAGTAGATGCTGCATGATATTTTTCATCAACAGTAGACTTTCCGTGAAGTGTTTACCTGCTTACCACAGAGTATTTATGATCCCAAACATGGTGTTCACTAGACAGTAAAATTAGGGCTAGGTTACAGTACTTTAGAGAAAGGGGTACCCCTTTATAAAGTATCTTGATGGCCTGAGTGAGCCAGATGAGTTGAAAACCCAGCTCTACATCAAAGATTTGGACTCAGTTTTTAGTCTCCAAAAGGTGTATTCTGATAACAAATAAATAGGCTCTTTTGAAGACTGCCTCATATCCTCATGGAGCTTTTCCATTGTGCACTAAACTCTTCAACATTTGTTGAGGCAAATGATCAAAAGAGCCTTTTAGGAGGCAATACATCCAAGGTCCACTTCCAGCCTCAGTGAATGGACAGCTAAATCTACAAAGATGCCTTGAAGTTTGGAGGTCAAGATGCTCTGGTAGGAGCTGTGTCGTCCCATCCTTGGGAAACGGACCTCGAGTTTACATTTGCAGTCTTAGAAATGTATAAGGGGAAGACTGCATTCACATTTTCATGAGTATGGCTTTCTTACTTTGTTTTCTTGCAATTGCCCAGGAATAAATTGCGGTTTGGGGGGCGGGTCATTGCCTTATAGTTGTGCTGTTTCTCCATGTTTTTAATCCGAATATTCACTTTTTCAACCTTCCTCTTTCCACAGACTTGTTGAATTATCCTCTGTGGTCCACATCAATTCCCACTGGGGAATCATTTCCAAGTGCTTAGCTTACAGCAAAGTTGTTTCAGACCCTTTTGTGTACTCTCTGCTACGGCATCAGTACAAGAAGACATGGAAAGACATCATAAACAAGATCCTCAAACGAAGCTCCATCAATTCCTCAGCCCTCACGAGCGAATCGCACAATCAGAATATATTGCAGCTGAACGAATGAGGAGCCTGGTATGGGACCTACAAGACACATAGAAAGATAGATGGGAAACAAAAGTAACTGGCCTATCCCTAGTAGCTCTCCTCAGCTGTCAAAGTTTCGGGAGGCAGTCATGGAGAAGTTGAAGCCCAGCCCGTGTCCCTCCGGTAGCCCACGTAACACCTAAGGGAAGCAGGCTACTTTGCATCTCCTGCCTCCGACTAAAAAAGTGCTATTGATCGCGGTCCTGCAGGCTTCGCAAATACAAATCTCCCATTGATTTCCATCAGCAGTGACACACACATATACGGTAAAAAGCTAGTCCTCAGCAGAAGGACTCATGAAAGTAATGGGAGCAAACTGGTGCCATCGTAAGATTATTCTAAAAAGCTGCACAGGGTTATTTGTGCTGTATTTTTTCACTGGCTGCAGGTAACGCTCCTGCTGATGGAGCTGCCAACCTGGCTTTACAAAAACTCTTAATAGGAAAAACGTAATAGAAAAATCTTTACCTAGATACTCATACAGTGCCCAACATAGCTTTCAACCTCTTCTGATACATATTTTTTGAACAATCCTGTAGAATTGAAGGAAGAGAAAAATCAGTTTTGGAGCATGCTACAGGCTGGATTCAGCCATGTCTTCTCTAAGTTTTGTAAGTAACTTCCACAGAATCTCATTAGTTTTCTTCCCATTAAATTTCAGAAAAATAAAAATGGTAGACAGGATGGAAAGGTCAGGATGCCTACCTTCCAGTATATCTGAGCTGTAAAGAGACGGATTTTGCCCAAAGCTGCAGAACTGGGCCCTGTGCCCAGGGGAAAAAAAATAAAAATCTTTTCCTGAGGTGTTATTAATCATGGGTTTTTTTTCCCTACAGATATGTTACTTAAAGGAAATACGAGCCTAAAGCTGAGTTTAAAAATATAATTTCCAAAGCAAGTGGACCAAAAATAATAGACCCCTTCCCCACCATGAAAGTGCAGCCAATAATCTGAATCCACATCCGAATGTGCAAATCTCAGGAGGTTTCATTATAGATCTTTATAGCTCTAGATTGCACCTATGCATAGTAATGTTATTAACATTTACCATGCGTTCAGTTCAGCCTGCAGCTAACATAGGTCTAAATACCAGTAACATTTTCAAAACCAGAACAATCCTACATGTCACACTTCCTCAGACACCACCACAGTATCTTAATTTTTGTAAACGTTATTTGTAAGTACATTGTAAGTACAACTACAGCTGGTAGATGGCTTCACAACTGTCACATAGACACATGATGCTGAAACCACCCTCCAGTGACTCATGAAGAATTACTTTTCTGAGTAATTTTCAGTGAATTCTCTCTCAATTCAGTGAAAACACTATGAAATGAGACAGTTTTTCAAGTGTTTTCTTATTAATTAAGCTGTAGAATATCAAGAGCAATAATTAATCAGTTGTCATTTCTGCTGTTAAAATTTTTAGGAATAATCAATTTCTAAAACAACTTGCATGAACAAAGTGTGTTGTCCTCATAATCTCTTTAAAATTAATTTCAGTTAAAGAACAATTGGCTTCAAAAGCTTCACATTTATACTTTGATTGGCAAAAGACTTACTACCAATTCTGACCTTAATTCTGCACACATTTTTCTCCAGAAAATGACTTAAAGTCCATAAGACAACAGCAAGTTAACTTCAGAAATTAAATTAATTTTTGCTGGGTAGGTCAAGAAAGCTTCTGTCCAGTGGCCATAATGTACGCAGTTTCCTTTGTGAGGGTAAATAGCAAATATGTGCCCAGATTTTGAACAGTCTTGATTAATTAGGCTTCATGCATGTGATAGCAGCTTAAATAACAGCTGACACAGCTGGCTACGTTACCACCTATCCTTGCTCATATTCTGACTGCCAATACCATATTGAGAAAATAAGGCCCCGAGTACTAAAAATGTGGGATTATTTTTTAGTTACCACCTCCTGTGTCTCCCCCCAAGCAAAGGCCACTGTTTGGTGCCTATAGCTCTGCAGAATCCCCGACAGCAAAGGTTAATGAGCTAAATTAGTATATTCCCTACCCCTTTTGCTAAACGATCAATGTCAGTCATTTTGCAAATATTAGCATGCTCCATTTTGCAAGCTCTACCATGAACATAAGTCATTGATAGAACAGACATTATGGCAACTACATACCTTCCAAAAGGTGTCCACCACTGAAGTTTTTGGCCAGTGATTCAAAGCCCAAACAGGTAAATCAGTGGGGGGGCTTCACCCCAAAGTCAGTGAACGTGGGGTAATACCTCAGTTGTCGGTCTGGAGAGCCTTGCCTTAGCCCTCGCTGTGGCACGGTACTACAGCTGCAAGGAACCATGTTAATCTATAAATTTATATTGTCACCTGCTTTATAAATGCAAGCATTAATATAATGAAGATCGTCAACTGCCACATAAATAAAAATTTTCAGCTTAACTATTAATCTTAGTTACAAAAAAATAACATAATTCCTATAAAACATACACACAAAGATAGTCACAGAGTTTAAGTAAGTTTTTACAACACTGCGTTCAAAATTAGCCCTTAGCCAGATTAAATAGTCTACCTCATCTTAATCATTTTACTTCTTGAGCTTAACATAATTTTCTCAGGTGCAATAGATAAAACCACCCAGTTCAATACCTGTTTCTTAAGAAATTCAAGTCATTTTGATGACTTGATTGTATCAGAATACAGGATATTAGAAAGTTGATTATTAGTGAGTTTGAAAAGATAAAAAGCTCTATATCAGATTGTTATATGTTTTACTAAGATCACTTTTACTTAAATAAATTGCAACAGGATGGTTGCTAAAGTCCACAGCTGTTGTCAACTTATACGTGGGGCTGCTGCCAAAGTCAATGGGAGGTTTGTATGTCGAAAAACCTAGCCCCAGAAGGATTTCAAATTTTAAATCAATTATTCAAATAGAGTGAGAAAATTTTCCAGAAAAAAAACATTGTACATTTAGGATGGCTAGTAAAAGATGGAGAAGAATACAGCATTGGACTTGTCTCATTATTATTGTGTATCACAGTCAGTCACCGGTTGATTTATGTGTCACCATGAGCAATAAATCTCTCCCCTTGTATGTGTTTAAAAAATTTGTCTTTCTTTCATGGTGCCTTTCTTCTAGAATTAATCTTAAAACAGAGAATAAATATAATTTCCCCTTACTTACATCAGCTCTCTGACACATTGTCATATTTCTACCATCTGAAGCAAGCGAGAGTTGTAAATGCCGGTGCTTGACAAACTCAGTATACAAAATAAAAGTAATACCCTAACATTTCCTGATGACATTTTATAAGATACTAGAAATATGATACTGTGGCTCATTAAGTGCTAGATATTCAGCTGAATTCTTATAGGCAACTGGCAAAATTTTCTAAAATGTATGTCTAAGTGATGAATGTAGATATGAGTAACTATCTGTCTGCTGAGTATTATATGTACTATACAACACTTTGACTTGAGCGAGTTAGAATAATGATGGTAAATGTAATGCACAATACTTTATTATCTCTGATCATGAAGCGGAACTGTTCTCTTGTCAAACACAAATGCGCGTGTGTGCGTTGTGGGGGATTTTCCATGTATTTATTTAAATATTTTTGAAAAAGTTTGTAAAGTATGGTTACAATGTGTGCCCAAAATATGGAACTGCATGTGCAAAAATTGTGCAGCTGCTTAGGCAATATGCAGTTTTCTGCAGTTTGTTGGTATCTGCGATCCATATGCAATATCTATTTCTCACACGCATGTTCAATTAACATTGTCTTCGTATCTTGTAAATTTGGCAGGCAGAACATTGGCAAACGATTAAGGGAATTTAGCGCACTATGTCATTTTGTGGATTCTGAGCTTTTTCCTCCATTAATTTTACAGTTATTTATATAATCTCAGAGCCCTAACTGTGAACTAGGATCCTGTTTTATGTTATGGTTTTGAGCCAGTTTGAATGTGAAGATCTGAGTAATTACATTTGGCAAAAACTATGAGAGACTGATAAGAGTTTATTGAATAAAGAATAAGTACCAGGTCCTCTCCTGACATAAATCTACATAACAGTTGGTTGCTTCACCTGAGAATAGGGTCCCATTAGATAACTATATCCAGGTTTTATAGATATGTCTTCTAAATATGCAGGGCCCAGTTTTCATGGTATTTACAAATGGAAAGATATAAACAGGATTTAGTGAGTTCCTCATGTGCGTACGTGCCCACTTGCAATGTCAGGCAACTGCATGACTCTTCTCTAAATAGGCTCTATCCCTGGTTTTACCCTTTGAGTAAAAGACCCCAATAACGTCTTTTCAGCAGCCCTCAGACTTTTTATAACCTCCCTTACTTCTGAAAAAAATAAATTCTAGACATTAAAAATGTTCCAAACAAATCCTTACAAAGCCTGACGACCGTTGCAGCAGTAGCCACGCGTATCATGGCATCACAGACCAGCTGAGGTTGGAAGGGACCTCTGGAGGTCGTCTTGTCCAAGCCCCAAGAGGCACATCACTGCCTTTTGCTGTAGTTTACCGTCTCAATTTTGCCAATGCATCTGTTTGCTTTGCAATAGTGCTGAGAAATGATCTTAGTCTACTTCAGGTCAACAATAAAATCTTCCTGGAAAGAATTTTTTTTTTTAAATAATTGTGGGAAGACATCTTAGACTTAACTTCAAAACCAGCTGCATCAGAACAGCTTTAGAGGTTACAAAACTGGGGCAGAAATAGCTGTGAATGGGAAGCCGAGGGCCAGGAAGGTTGGGAACGGTTTTGCTGCCGTTGCAATGATTTGTGTTGTCCTGGCTGCAGCAGGCTTTTCCTAGTGACCTATTTTCACACTGAGAGCTTTCTAGGACTCTCAGCTGTCCACTTACCCCAAAGAGAAATGTAAAATTCCCATCAAAGACCAGGAGCTGCCATAGAGTCAGGCCGAGGCTGCAAGAGCAGTACAGGCTCCATAGGAGGATCCTTGTTGGGTTGGGAAGACTCTAACGGTTTT